AAGTGAATTATATTTTATGTAAAACAAAGCTAGACTTGCTGGCTGAGAGTCTTGCTCTGTGTGGTGTTCATTCCTAACACAAGAGACTCAATCCTCAGCTTAAAAGGCAAAACTCGTTTGACCTGTCAATGTAGTCTCAACTTCTTCCTATAGAGTTGATTTAGGGATTCCCAAGTGACTAAATGTTTGACAATAAGACAACAGGGAAGAAGTGTGCAACTTTGGATTCATTGCAAGTTTTTCTGGCTCTTAGAAGAACCAATGAAGTGTCAGTTGGATGTGACACCTATAACAGCCATAGCCATTTACTGGTACAAAAATGAAGCCAACCCACAAAGTTTAAAGAACCACCAGAGAAGTGAAAATGGATCTTCATTTAATTAGACGCTGATTTCAGATCCACTCTCTGAAGTCTTTGTAGTGTGAGATAAAAAACTTCTGAATTTTGAAAAAAAAATTATATATAACATTAGAATACATTTTGACATAATTGCAAATCAATGGAATATAATTTGCTCTAATTCAGCCCCCAGAACACCCCCCTCCTCATACCCTCCCTCTACTTAACTCTTTCTATTCCACTGATCTTTCTTTAATTTATTTATAGTTTTTTTCAAATAAGTGTTTTTATATATACTTGATATTGGGATTCACTGTAATATATTCAGGTATGTACATATGAAAATTTGGTCAGATTCATTCTACTCTTCTTCCCTTTTCCTTTCCCTCATTCCTCGTCCTCAATCCCCTTTGTTTACTCTATTGATCTTTCCTCTATTTTGATAAAATTCTATCTTCTTCTTTTTTTTTCTTTCTCCCCCTGCCCCCCATCCCATTCCCTGTTATTTTGGATTAACTTGTGTATATAAGGGACAACTTTTGACATTCTAGTTTTTGAGATTGATTCATTTCACTTGGCATGACAGTCTCCAGTTCCATCTCTTTTCTGGTTAATGCCATAATATCATCCTTTATGACTAATACTCCATTATGAATATATATCACATTTTCTTTATCCAGTCATCTGTTGAAGGGCACCTACATTGGTTTTATAACTTGCTTACTATGAACTGTGCTGCTATAAATATTGATGTGGTTGAATTCCTGTAGTATACTGATTTCAGATCTTTTGGATATATACTGAGGAGTGGGATAATCTATGGTGGTTTCATTTCTAGTTTTCAGTAGTTAGGCTCATGTGCATTCTTCCTCTTCCCCAGTGTCACTAAATGTGTTCTCCACTTGGCACCTTCATACTTTTAATCTTGTCTGGCTTTTCCTTGAGCATCCTTTCCTGCAACACCACAAGGCCTGCTTATATTTCATGGTTGAGGTCTTGGCCCTCATGTCACCCCTCAGAGGTGCTTTTCCTGACCATATTAACATAGCAGCACTAGGCATTTTTCTATTATTTTGGTTGTTTTAAATGAATTTCTCTTTTATACCACATTATATTTTCTCTAATAATCCCCCCACAAAACAAGATAAATACACATATCCTAAGTGATCACCTGGAAATATCATAATTAACTTGAAGGTACGTGAAATGAGGACACTAATGTACCCACTAATTGGATCAATGACATAGGGTTTGCACATGATATGATCTGCCATTTAGAAGATCCTAAAGAATCCACTGGAAGACTTAGATCTGATGGTAAAATACAAATTCAGAAAAGTAATAGGATACAAATCATCACACAAAACTCAATAACTTGTCTAATACATAAACAGCAAACTCCCTGAGAAAGAAATCAGAAATTTCTTTAGCAATAGTTCCAAAGATAAATAACTAGGAATAATCCTAATAGAAGAGGTGAAAGTCTTCTTTCATATTCTATAATAAAAATTATGGAATATGGAAGAAAAAAGATACTATAATATGGAAAGATTTATTTGGTTCATAAATCAGCAGAATGAATACTGTTGAAATGGCCATCTGACTGAAACCAATCTACTGATTTTTGATAAAATTTCTGTCAACGTATTATATTTTGTCAGGAATTTTATTGGTTTCAGTCATTGTACTGTCATATGTAACTAATTAAAACAAAAAATATATATAAATGAAAGTCCTCACAAAACTAAGAAAAACAATCATAAAATCCGTATGGAAGTACAAAAGACTGAATAGTCAAAAAAATTTGAGCAAAAGGAAAAAAAGCTAGAAGTATCACAATATCCAATTTCATATAGCCTAGAGAGCCACAGTAATAAAAATAATATTGTAATTATAAAACAGATACAGACCAATGGAATACAATAGACTCAAGAAATAAACCCATAGAGTTATAACCATCTGATTCTTGAGAAAGGTGCCAAAAATGTATGCTGGAGAAATGATAGCCTTTTCTCAAAATGGTGCTGGTAAAACTGGATATCCACATGTAGAACTTTGCAATGTGATCCCTAACTCTGACCCTGAACAAGAATAAACACAAAATAGATCAATGACCTGAGTATAAGATCTAAAACATTGAAACTACACAAAGAAAGACTTCATGACATAGGCACAGGCAATGAGTTTTTCAAGAGAACTCCTATAATTCTGAAAGTTATAAGAAACATCAATAAATGGGACTGCACCAAATTAAAATGCTTCTGCATAGTAAAGAAAATAATCATCACAGTGAAGAAGCAGCCTACAGAATAGGATAAACATTTTGCCCTCTCCTCTTCAGACAGGATTAATATTCAAAATGTATAAGGAATTCAAAAGTCTTAATACCATAATATTCTCCAAATAAACCAGTAAATGAATAGGCCAATGAGCTGAACAGACATGTTATGGTTTGAATATAGATACCCCCCAATAGCTCATGTGACATCACAGGAATGTTTAAAGTGAGATAATTAGATGATGAGAGGTATAGTCTCATCAGTGGACTAATGTATTTGAATGGAAGTGATGTATTACTTTGTAGTAACTGTATCCAGGATGTGGCTGGAAGAAGTAGATCACTGGGGATGTGAACTTGGGGATTATATTTTGTCCCTGAGTCCCTATAACTCCCTTTCTCTGATTCCTGATTGCCATGAGCTGAGTAGCTTTCCTCTGCCATGATGTTCTGCTGTGATTTTCAACCTCATCTGGGGCCCACAGTAATTGAGTTGGCTGATTGTGAACTGAATCTCTAAAACCATGATCCAAAATAAAGTTTTCCTCCTCTAAGTTAATTTTTTTCCTGTCAGGTATTTTTGTCACAGCAACAAAATCTGACTAATACAAATTATGAAAAAAATGTTCAACATCTTTAACCAGTAAGAACATGCAAAATAATACTACACTGAGATTCCATCTCAGCCCAGTAAGAATGACTATCATCAGGAATCCAAGTAACAATAACTGCTGGCAAAAGATTCAGGGAAAAAGAACCATTTATACACTGTTGGTGGAAATGGAAAGTAATGCATTCACTATAGACACGAGGGTAGAATTTCCTCAAAAAACTAAATATAGAACTAACATATAATGAAGGTATACTACTGTTGGGTATATACTGAAAGGAATTAAAGTTATCATAGTAGAATGATGCCTGCATATTTACACTCTTCATGGCACATTCACAGTGGCTAGATTATAGAATCAGCCCAGATTTCCATCAACATATGAGTGGATAAAGAAAATGTGATATATATCACACACACACACACACACACACACACACACACAGAATTATTTGAGCCATAAAGAATGAAATTATGTCATTTGTAGGAAAAGAGATGAAATTAGAAATTCTAATATTAAATGAAATAAATTAAAAAATCAGACAAATATTGCATATTTTCCCTGATATATGGAATCTGGCAGGGTGATGTAATATATAAGTAACAGCAAGACTATTATACAAGAAGGAAAGGATCAGGAGAGGAGGGGGAGAGATTGTTAGGGTACTACAAAGTCTTCTAGGACATAATGTATTAACTGATATATTCATATTTAAGTCTGATGTTTTAATCTGTATTTTCTTTTCCATTTTTATGGCTCTTTTTCTATTCTTTCTTTACTTCTTTCAGAGTATTTTTATTATTCATTGTCCTACTATTTTCTTCTTGGAAATGTAATTTTGAACTTGTCCTTTAAGTGATACCTTCCTAAAATATAATATTCTGAAAGGAGAAATGAGAGCTGAATTGAAGATAGTCATTCTACTGAGATACAACTCCCATTTATCTTTGCAGTATGGAAAAGGTTAATTACTGAAGTTTTGTTTTATCAAATGTCATGTAGAAAATTTTATTGTACTTCAAAAGTTACCATAAATTTAAAAAGTCAACCATATGGAATGTTAGAAAAATACTTGAAATTCATATATCTGATGAGATAAAATATGGTAAAATATTATCATCAATAATTAAAATTTAAATAACCTGATTAAAAATGAGTAAATAATTGGAACTGACATTTCTCTCAAGAATATAAGTGAATGACCAATAAGCACATAAAGCAATGCTCTTTAGCTATAATGGAAATGCAAGTCAAGACCACAGTGAGCTACAATCCTAGTCACTAGATTGGCTATAATCAAAGAAACAGGTGATAAATGCTAATAATGATATGGAGAGATTGTAACTCTTATGTTGCTTGGATGCTGCAGAAAATTTTGCAACTAGTTTGTAAAACAGTTTGGAAGATCTTAATACATATAAAATTAACATATGACCCATCACTTCTATTAGGAATTATCAGAAGAAATGAATACTTATGTTTATACAAAGTTGTACCCATTGTTCATAATAATTGAAATTGAAAACAACAAAAATGTCCATAAACTGATGAATTGATAAATTACTGTGAATATGACATACCTATATTTGAAGCTGTCTACAACTCTGAAATCGTACTGATTAAACTGGTTTGAAATAAATAAGATTTAATATGGATTAAATCTTTTAAATTCTTTCAAAACTACCCTCCTCAAAAATGGGATAAAACTTATACTCATTGATGAGAAGACAATCCTTCTATGAAAACTAACCAATTTCAAAGTTGTACTTACAAAGGGTCATTAATGACCATCCTCAAGGCCTTGAGAAGATCTGCACTTGTAAGTGTTCTGTAGTCCAATCTAATAGCTGCTCCCTTGGCCTTCACATGAGCAATGTTATCAGGTTGATCCGCAAACAAAGGAATGCCCACCATAGGGACACCATGGTAGATTGCCTCATAGACGCCATTGGTTCCACCATGAGTTATAAAAGCTTTTGTTTTTGGATGACCTAGGATTGAGTCAATGTCAGAAAAATTATTAATTAAAAATCTTAGAAATGAAATGAGAAATGTGTATTATAAGACATTAGAGGGAGCAGTGTATTTTAGATAATAGTTTATTGTAACCATTATCTTGCACTGAATTATTATTATTTTTTCATATCTCAGAGGAACAAGCACCTATGTCCACTGGAGTGCTAAGTGAAAACTACATGAAAGAGGGAATATATGACTTGAGACTTGATAATTGAACACAAGATTGATAGGTAGTAAAAAAATAGAACATTTTTTGAGTAAAGGAATCAACATGTACTAATGAAAAATACAGTCATGAAGGACATGTTAGCACATTTTCTCATTAAGAAAAAACCCAAAAACTGAAGTCACTAAGTTTGCTATGTAGCATGTCCAAAGCAGCAGGAAGTAGAATGGTGATGGTACTGAAATCAGAGAAAAGAGAGACAACACTTCATTATGAAATGTGTTATCACTTCATAATAAAGATTGTGCATTCATTTCTATAGAAAATAAAGAATCGCTGTTAATTAAAAAAAAAAACAAAAACCTGGCAGTTACTTTCGAGTGGTATTTGAAATACTTCAGCAAGAGGGGAAAGAATGAGTGAAAGATGTAAACTAAGGGGCTAGGGTTGTGGCTCAGTGGTAGAGTGCTTGCCTTGTGTGTGTGAACTACTTGGTTTGATCCTCAGTACCACATAAAAAATAAACAAAGATATTGTACCCATCTACAATTAAAAAAAATATTTTTAAAAGAGATGTAAAACAAGACAGAGAGACAATCCAGGAACTGACTGAAAAATTCTTGCAGAGGTAATTGCACCAGAAATAAAGATAACTTGGATTCTGTATATAATGACTGTGTATAATAAAATTGAAGCTTTTTACTTTGCTTTTCCAAACCATCCATGGGTCTGGAAAATAATATTTTAAAAGTTGAACATTGTGTTTGATTTTTTAAAAATAACAAGTATTCAATAAAATGTTTCCTGTTGAACTGTGAGTATCCAGATTGACTGTACTCATGTTTTCAGGATTTATCTCAGAGTCTTACCAAGAAGGTCATTCTGGGGGATCCATTCGTATATCTGAGTGTTGGGTCCTAATTTATCTGGCTTCTTGCCATTAAATCTCCATATGACCTGTTTGGTAAAGAAAGTATCTTATTCTATGATTTAAAGATTAAAGATATAATATGTTTGAATTCTAAAAATTTAAGAGATCATCTAGTTCAATATTTCACACATAATGAAATGAATACAAACAATTTTAAACAATGAGAATTCCTAAAATCTAAAGTAAAAGTCCACATTTATTTTATTTAATGTATTTTACCCTAGCTTTCATTTTTAAAATTAATATTATCAGGTTTGTTTCTTTTGAGTGACATAGATTGGACATTACATATATTCATTAGTTCTTTAAGGTACTTATTTCAGTTTGGCATTTTGTTTTTTAATACACAAAAGCAAAACAATACAGTCAGTTACTTGTGAGAAATAAATGAATTCTATTGAGGAGTTACATGTAACTTGTTTTAGTTGGCATTTTACTAAGCAGTAACTACAAGAATCATTTCACTGGCACATGTGAACTGTAACCCACACTTTATCAATTTAACCTACACTTTTATCAATATTGGTGGATATTAGCTTATTAGCAACTTGTAAATAATTACATAGGTTTTGAAATAAAGTGCAAAATTTTGATGTCGCTAGATTTTTAAAAACTGTTTGTTATTTAATGATGTACTACAAAGTCTTGGTGGTAGTCTCATACAGATTCAAGATATTTTTATGCCTAAAACCAAAACAAGGAGCTGACTTTGGAAATTGAAAGCAGACTTCATGAACTGGAGTATAATTTCTACGTGCTTAATTTCTATATGCAATGTGAATAGCAAAGTAACTTTAGTTCTGCAGAAAAGAAAAACGCTTGGGTGATTAAGAGAAGACTATATCAGATAGAAAACTACAAAGTAAATGGCTGTCACCCAAAGACCACAAGAGCATTCTGTATGTAGAAAATGTGGTATTGAAGCATTTCATGGAGCTGCATCTCCTGAATTCCACCCCATGCTAGGCTTGCTTCTGCTTAACTCTTCCTTAGACTGTCTTGTTTCTCCTTCAAAGGTGTTAATCTGATATTTTAGAAGCAAAGTTCTTTGGGGCACATTTTATAATGCACAGGGTCCACTTTGAGGGAGGGCTAATCTCTACACATTTTAAAATATTTTCCTTCCTCAGACATTATCTGTTAGTGCAAGCTGTTTTTTGTTTGTTTGTTTGTTTTTCTGCTAATGCATGTGACTGAGTGTGAATTTAGAGTCAGGGTTTAAGGCTTGTTCAACTCTGGGTAGCCTTTCTCCTCAAAACTCCAGGAACAGTTCATTAAGGAAACCTATTTTTTTTTTTATGGGAGTATTTTGAACTCATAGTTTCCGAGGTTCAGCACACATTTGGCAGACTCCAATGTTCTGGGCCAGAGATGAGGTGGAATATGATTCCAAGAAGCTTATTCTTAAGGAAGGAACAAGGGATTGCATAAGATATCTAAAATCATGGTAAAATTTAGCCTTTTCCAATACCTGATTAATATTATTATGGTGGTCCAGTTATGAGTTAACTTTTTATAGCTTTCTGATAACATTTGCTGTGTATATGGTGCCCTCAGGAATCCTGCATGGAAAAGGAAGAAGTGGCCGGGAAGAATGTAGTATCTGTGTAAATGGTGTGATACCCTTAGAATTAAAATCTCACAATGAATCTGTGAAAAAAAATATATAAAAGAATGTATATATAAAAAATGTATATATATGTATATATCATGAATTATATATACCATGATAGGTTTTTTTTTCACAAAGGATGCATCTTTAATTAAATCCTTTGTAAATTTTATAAAGTTTAAAAGACTTTTTCATACTTATCCATTAAGAGGGCACTATTTCTTACCTTTTGTGGAATCTGTGCAAGAGCAAATGCAATCATATTGGCTTTCTCTTCTGGCATGTTAGAAACCATCGTCCCCAGAGAAAACACCACAATACCATTTTCTCCAGAACTCTGTACAAATTCTTCCATTTCCTGTGAATAAAACATTTGCTCCATTAAAAAAGTTTAACATGAGGGAATAGATGATGGCAGATTAGAGGAAGGCTGCCTTCTTAATTCCTCCAAGGATCAAAATACAAGTAGTGAGAATACTGCTTCTTAGTGAGGTAGGTGAAAGAAGGATTTCACTAAAATTCATTACTGGACAATCAGAGTTATCTCAGAGACTCAGAAGTTTGGGTTCATTAAACAAAGAAGACTACATTGAAACCAAAGTATTTATGGAAGTGGCTGTACTAGTAGTAATGGTGCTGTCTACCACAGAGAAAGGAAAACACAGAGAAAAAAAACACAATGGACATATTTGGTATGAAAAAACCTGAGATCAGAAAAGCAGCCTGAACTTAGCTGATCCAGAGGATGCACTGTACACTGATGATTGAAAAATTATGTTTCTTTACTAGGTGGGGAGAGATGAGGTGGAGTAATCTTGAAGTGGCCATACTTCAGCTGCTGCTAGTACTGGGAGATCAGAGCAAACACTGCTGCAATGCGTACTGTGTGGCCTAGTGAGTACCTAGTTAAATGGAAGGGAAACAGGCACAGAGAAGATTTTACTCCAGGGGAATCAAGTCAAAAAAGCAAAGTGGGAGCACAACTTGCTTTTCCTTTGAGACTGGTGGTTCATGTGACCAGGTGAAGTGGGTAGAGAATCTGAAAATGCAGGTGTAGAAATACTCAGAGCCTAAGCCTGGGAGATCTATATTGGTGGACCTCAGAATAAATGGAGGATGAGCTCCCCTGCTGTTATGGGCTAATTTGAAAATTAAGTCAGGCTGACTGCATTTTGCTCAGACATCTCACCCTGTGCAGAACTGGTCCCCCTTTCTGCATGAGCCCACTCACACAGAGCTGACATCTCTACCCTCACCCACTTGCACACTGACCACATGTATTTAAACTCTGGAACTAATGCAAATTTGCTTCCTGATTATGTATAAAAAGGTGCCGATTCTGAGAACTTGGTGCTTTCCACTTTATCAATTGTGTCCTATGATTGTACTTGCCTCTTCCACCCCCATTATTTGTGGTTTTTGTGTTTTTAAGCTGTCCTCCCTCCCCCGCCACCAGTGTTCAGTGTCTTGGGCCATAGAACTGTCTGCTTTCTTCTCCCTTGGCCCTGGCCAGAACATTTCCTTTGTCTTTCCTTCAAAAAACCCAGAGTTTTATTTGGGATTTTGGAATAGCATCTTAACACAGCCAAATGAATAGAATTCTTGGGAGGCTACTGAGATTCAGACTCCCTACAGAGATCAGCAACTGCCAGGCCCTAGGTGTGTGTCCCATTTACTCTCTTCAGATCAGACTTCCAACAAAGCCCTTGAGCTCTGATTAGACCTAAGCCTCATCCATCAGGACTCCCCTCATACAACACCACAGCTTGGTGTGCATAGATCTGTCTGTGTAGGCAAAGCTCCAACTAACAGTTCTTCCCATTCCATCCTATGTCATACTGGTAAGAAGGAAAGCTGTCACTTGTTTAAAACAGCTACAGCCTTAGGCAACTCCAACTGGTACCTCAGAGACAAACACAAGGAGAAAGAGGATAACAAAATCCATCCCTTGCTCTGGCTCTTCTTACATAGCTTAAGAAGAAATGGAAAGAAAGATAGTTGGGCATAGTCGGTGATCATCCATTCTTGCTGACTATTTTGACCACTTCAGTTGAAATTATTTTTTCATTTATCATTAAGAATATTTTTACTTTTTCTTATTTTCTCTCTCTCTCTCTCTCTCTCTCTCTCTCTCTCTCTCTCTCTCTGTGTGTGTGTGTGTGTGTGTGTGTTCTTCCAGTGGTTCATGGACATATATCTAAATTTTTTTTCTTAGCATTTTTTAAAAATGTAGTTATTTCCTTTGCCTTGTCTTTTGAGGGTTAGGATTTTTGATCTGTATATTTTTGTTCATTTTGTATTTTTTTATTTGTTCGTTTCTCTTCCTCTTTTTTCTTCTACTGCTGATAGCCAAAATCTATTTTCTTTTTTTCTTCCTTTACTTTTTTCTTTTTTTTTTCTCCTCCATCCTCATAACTGTCACCTGCCACACTTCTGCTGCATTCTCTCTGTTCACTTTTGAGAACTGCAAACCCTTTTTCTTCCTTCCTATCATGCTTCATTTCCTCTTAACTGTATTTTTCATCATCTTTTAGAACTAATTGTTTTATATAAGTCCTGTTTCCACCATTAACACTCTTGAAATTATTACTTATGTGGATGACATCCTTGATACCTGTTTGTTGTTTTAATGCTGGATCTAGTATGGTTATACACCATTTTGTTATTGTTGATGTTGTTATTGGCAATTGCTGACCCCACCATTTCTGTGTTTTTTTTTTTTTTGGTAGCAATTGACATTGTAGAAGTCATAGTAGAATCCAACTATTTATTTTAATGCTGTTTATTGTTTGTATAATTTGTTTCTATTGTTTGATTCCACCTATTCTGTAACTGGATATCTATAGTGTTACTACAAGTACAGGGTAGAGAAGTCTCCAGCTAAAATAAATTCAGCCAAAATACAGTTTACCTTCCTCCACATACAAATTAATGAAACTCAATCTCTGTATATACTTTAATACAAAGATAAAAACACAAACTATTTATAAAGCCACCTTAAGTAGAAACAGCTGGGGGTGGGCTTTTAGCTTCCACCTATGGAAATCCATTGCCACAGCAAAATCAGAAAGAATTAATGCAAAGCCTGTGAATACCACATTTACAAGGGTGCCTCAATCCAGATTATTCTAGGACATGTTGGAAAGTAAAGACAATGCCCTATATAGAGTGAAAGAAATATCCTCATCTAAAAGATATATAAAATTCAACACAGGTCTCTAACAAATATGTAAAAGCAAGGTAATATTAAACCACATAAAGTTTATAACTCACCAACAAATGACCCCAAAGATATTGTAATAAATAAAATATCAGATAAAGAATTTAAAAACTCACTATAAAATGATCAATGAATTCCTATAGAACACAGAAAAACATTTGAATGAACTAAGGATGTTATTATAGAATACAAATGAAAAATTAAATAAGAAATATTGAAAGAGAACCAAATGTGAATCTTGGAAATGAAAGACAAAATAAATAAAATGTTCAGTTTGAAATCTCTATAATACAGTAGACAATGCTGAAGACAGAATCTGAGATATAAAAGAAAAAATGGTCAGCCTTGAACATTTAGGCAGTTTTAAAGTAAAGAAAATATGTAACCATGACCAGAACATACAAGAATATTGGGAAAACATTAAGAGATTAAATTTAAGAACGATTGGAATTGAGGAGGATTGTGAAAGGCAGGATAGGAGAAATTGATAGCCTCTTTAGAAAAATAATAACAGAAAATTTTTCAAACTTTGAGAATAAGACAGATACCCAGATACAGAAGGATATATCCAGATATGGAACCCCAAATACACAGGATAGATAAAGAAACTTTCTACAACACATTATAATTAAAATGCCTAACATACAGAACAAGAATAGACTTTTAAAATCCTTAAGAGAAAATTGACAGGTTACATTTAGAGGCAAGACAATCAGAATCACTTCTCATTTCTCAGCACAAACTCTAAAAGCCAGAAGATCTTGGAGTAATAAGTTCCAACTCCTGAAAGAAAATAACTGTCAACAAAGACTGTTATACACAGCAAAGCTATTCTTCAAAATCAAATTAAAACTTTCCTAGATAAGCAGAAAGTAAAAGAATTCAGAGCAACTATATCAACAGTACAGAAGATATTTAATAAAATAATTCTTTTGGAAGAAATGAAAAACAGACCATAGAGTTCAAAAATGAACAAATCTGATTTGAAGAATAATTAAGGAAATGAAAAACAGGACCAAATTAAACATAAATAAATCAAAATGACAGGAATTAATAAACTTCCCTTTGTAATTATTTTGAATATAAATGGTCTCAGTTCTCCAATTAAAACATATAGTCTGTCAGAATGGATTATAAAAGAAGACCCAATGATACATTGTTTGTAAAATATGCACCTTACAGATAAAAACAGCCAAAGGCTGAAGCAAAAGCATAAAAATAATATATAATGCAAAGGGTAAGATAAAATAAGCAGGATTAGCTAATCTCATAGCTGACAAAGTAAACTTCAAAACAAAATTAATCAAAAGAGACAAAGATGGTCACTTCCTACTGGTAAAGGAAATAATTTAAAAAGAAGATATAACAATTATAAATATTTAAGTCACAAACATGGGTCCAACTAATTACATAAAGGAAACCCTACTCATATTAAAGCCTCAGATAGACATGAATACAATAATACTGGGTGATTTAATACAGTTTGTTTATAATACTGGGTGATTTAATACAGTTTGTTTATCAAGGTCATTCAAACATAAAGTCAAAGAGAAGACTCTTTGGATCTGAAAAATATTATAAGTCTAATGAACTTAAACATATCTATAGAATATTTCATTCAACAACATCTGAATACACTTTCTTCTTAGCATCTTATGAAACCATCCCCAAATAGACCATATTTATGATGACAAAGCCACTCTCCTCAAATACAGAATAATTGGTATAATTTATTATATCCTATCTGAATATAATGGTATTAAATTAGAAATCAGCATGATTTCTAAAACCATACCCAAACTATGTAAACATATGAAAATTGAACAGACTGTTTTGAATGAAACAAACAACCCCCCCAAAAAAAATGGATTATAGAAGAATCAAGAGAAAAATTTAAAAATTCTTAGACTCAAATGAGAAGAGTAATACAACATATCATAATCTCTGGATTAGTATGAAAGCAGTTTAAAGACAAAAGTTTATAGCTGAGTGCCTGTATAATAAAATCATAATGATTCCACATAAAAAGCTATTCATTTCAAGGCCCTTGAAAAAGAAGAACAAACCAATTCCAAAACCAGAAGAAGAGCAGTTAGAAAAGAAAGATATATATGAGATACAAAAATAAGAAAGAAAGA